TGGCTGGTTTGTAAAATGGTGCAGCTCCTGCTGCTGAAGACAGTATGGCAGCTCTAAAAATGCAAACAGAATTGCCAGACAGTCCAGTAAATCTATTTCTGGATATACACTCAGAAGAACTGAAACAGAAACAGAGTCTGAAAGAGGGTTTTTGTTCATTCATTTCTTGTGTGTCCTCCCACATAATAAGCATGTACTCACTCTACCAGGCCTTTTAAAGAGTTATCTGTACATGTGTGACTATGGAAGCATTGTTCTCCAAAGCCAAGGGTGACAGCACACTGCTCGCTATCTAACAGTCTAACGGTTTCCTGGCACTGGTATCCAGGGTCCATTTACTGTTGCTGACAAGATTTCTATTTCTGGAACCTAGGTATAGAGAAGAAAAATGTAGGTAGCCTTTCCCATTGAGTGCATAGCCTGTCGTCATGAAAACTGCATCCTTAGGCTTTTCTGAGAGGCTGCCTTCCATTCTGCCCATCTGTACCCCATGTCATTTGATAACAGAACGAATAAGGAAAATGTATTATGTCTATACAACAAAATCTTTCAGCCTTAAAAAACAGAGAAATTATGGCATATGCTATAACATTAACCTTGAGGATACTAAGTTAAATAACCCAGTCACAAAAGACAAACAATAGATTTCATTTGCATGAATTACCTAGCGTAGTCAAATCCAGAGATAGAAGAGTACTTAATGGGGAGTTGCTATGTAATAGGTACAGGGTTTCAGTTTTCATGAAAAAAAAAAAAAATAAATTAGCTGTATACCACAGTAAACATACTCAACACTACTGAACAGTAATTCAAAAATGGTTAAGATGAAGGGCTGAGAAAGTAGCTCATGTGGAGAATGGTTGTCTAACATTCAAGAAGCCTTGGATTCAACCTCCAGAACTTGACAAACTAGGCACAGTGGCACATGCCTATATCCCTAACACTTGGCAGGTAGAGGCAGAAAGGCCAGAAGGTCATCCTGGGCTACATGAAATCCTGTCTCAAAAAATAAAACCAAGGAGGGCTGGGAAGCCAAATCAGCAGTTAAAAGCAGTGGCTGCTTTGCCAGAGTATCCAGGTTCAATTTCCAGCACCCACAGCTGCTTTCCAAATGTCTGTAAACTCAGTTCCAAAGGCTCCCATTATCTTTTCTGGCCTCAACAGTGCACACATGAGGTGCATAGCCATACCTGCAGACAAAACACTCGTGAACATAAAAATAGAGATATTTTCTCTAAAAACATGACAAAATGCAAAAAAATAGTTAAGATGTTTCATTATATATATATTTAACAATGTTTAAATAAATACTCATGTTTATTCAAAACACAACTACAATACTAAAACAAAACAATCTCCTTCCCTTTTAAGAAGGGTACAGGACTACCCAGTACCAAAAAAGAAAGAAAGAAAGAAAGAAAGAAAGGAAGGAAGGAAAGAAAGAAAAGAAAATAGGGAAAAAGAGAGAGGCGGGGAGAGAATAGAAAGAAACAAAGGGAAAAGAAACCCTTGTAAGAATAAATTCAGGGGTAAAAAAAATATATTACCATTCTTCTTCCTTTCACAAAAGAAATCTATTTTTACTGTGCCTGAAATTCAATGTGTTTAAAACCAAATTCACAGGACTGGAGAGATGGCTAACTCATTCACTAAAGTGTTTTCTGCAAAAGTGTGAGACCTTGAGTTCGATCCCCAGCACCCGAAATAAAAGCCAGACATGGTGGGGCAAGCTTGCGATTACAGTGCTGGGAAAGTGGGGACAGGCGGATCCCTGGGGACCGCCCAGACTAATCCTGGGTCCAGTGAGAGACCTTGTCTAAAAAAGAATGAATGGTTCCAGAGCAGCAACACCAACCCTCCCCACAAACATAAACGTCACCCTTGATTGCTTGCTTCCTCACAGCCCAAGTTCAGCATTCCCTATGCTAACTATAATCAGAGGTTGAGTCCTTATTCTCTATCTCACATGCTGGCTGGAAGCATTAGGACTGTCAAAGCCAGAGTCTATGTTTATCTTTCTTATCAACATACACTGAGTCTGGCAAAGGCTGGGTCAAACTAGTGAATGAAATCAGCTCAAATTGCAGTTTTAGGATTAAAATAGCTAAATGTCTAGAATCTGGTAAGAGATGGTCACCACTTCCTCTGCTTACCTTTTCAAATTCAGTAAGTTCATGAGAACACAGATTTCAATGCGAAGACCCCTGCTGACCGATGGCACACAGGTGAACTGTCTTCACTCATTTACTTATTAGAATCCTCAGATTCGGCCCTACATGAACACATGAACTAAGCCAAGCACCCATTCTTAAACATTTTACACTGGTGAATAAACTAGAAAATGCTCTTACATTTTCCTGTTTAAAAAAAAAAAAAAAATCTGGACCAGAGCTGAGGAGATGACTCAGTGATTAAGAATACTAGCTGTTCTTCCAAAAGTCCCAGGTTCAAGTCCCAGCACCCATATGGCAGCTCATAACTGTCTGTAACTTAAGTTCCAGAGGATCCTACACCCTTACACAGACATCCATGCAAGCAAAACACCAATGCATATAAAGAATAAAATTTTAAAAATTAAAAAAAAATCCAGGTGAGGATGGCTCAGCTTTATAAAGGCAATTGCTGCCACCCTGATGACTTGAGTTCTATCCCCAGAATGCATGCAGGGGAAAGGAGAGGGCCAGTTCCTACACGTTATCCTCTTCACACATGTGCTGTGGCATGCATACACACATACACATACGTAAAATAAAAAAAAAATCTATGTTTTGGCATATAGAATCTACAACGTATCTTCTTTGGCTAGGTTAGGGAGGCTTTTCAAGACAGGTTTCTCTGTGTAGCCCTGGCTGTCCTGGAACTCACTTTGTAGCCCAGGTTGGCCTGGAACTCAGAGATCCCCCTGCTTCTGTTAGGATTAAAGGCATGAATCACCACTCATAGACCCCAGACTCTCTGTCCCTCAGCTTCCTCATTAGTAAGTCGGAGTGAATCATCATCCTGACTCTATGTGGTGGTGATACTCAAGAAACTATACACAAGTACTTAGCACAGTGTCCAGGATAGAAGAAAGTCATATTTGTTAGCAATTTAGGACATATATATATCAGGCCCAGCAAGGCTTAACATTTCTCTGAGTTAATACAGGTAAACATAAGTTAGTCACTTTTATGACACACTCAACACACATCTTTTGAAACATTATTTATGTATCCATGAAGCTAAGACTTCATAAAATAAATAGGAGGAGCTCTGTTGTAATGAGATCATTCTCTTCTATGCTCTGATTTTTAAAGTCTGGGTAGGCAACAGGTGCTTTAAAAATAATAGTTTTTTATTATTTTTTTAGTTTTTTAAGTAGGTATTTGTGGACAGAGTCTCACCTTGCTCAGGCTGGCCTCCAACAAATACTTAGTCAAAGGCTGACCTGACAATCCTGGTCCTCCTGCCTCCATCTCCCAAGTGCTGGGGTTATGGGTGTGACAACACACTCTGCTTACTAGTATTTTCAATGGGTGAAATCATCAAGAGTTCCTGCTAATTTTCAACTAAGCTCTTCAATTGCTTCATATTGTACATGTGTCTAAGAGGACACATTGAATAAGCAAATGCAACAGATCTCAAAATTACCACAAGGCATCCTTTGTCTAAGAAATGCATCACAGTGTAAATAACAAAATCCCATTTAAAACTTGGGCTATGAGAATGGTACATAATTTTACTGTCAGAAGCAAAGTCTTCTACTGAAACAGGACACCAATACAATGTCTTTGTGATCTTCAAGTATCAATAAAAATTCTTTACAAATTTGTTGGGCAACTGTTAGGTTTTGTTTGTTATTTTTGTTTTGAGACAGGGTTATACTATGTAGGCCTGGCTGGCCTGAACTGGCTATGTAGATCAGGCTGGCCTGGATCTCAAGAGATTTATCTGCCTCTGCCTCCAGAGCGCTGGAATTAGAGGCATGGGCCACGACAGGCTGGACGACTACTGTGTAACAAGCACTGCTCTAAATATGCACGGGAAAGAAAGAGCTATTCTTATCCCTCAAGTAGCTCAGCAGAAGAAATCCATAGAAAATTGTCCTCATGCGCCACTTTTAAGACTCTACAGCTGGACTCTGTGAGACACAACGGATTCTATTACAGGACCAGGGAGGTCCTAAAAGATGAGCAACACTCTTCAGTTGATTAAAAAAAAAAAAAAAAAAGTATAAAATAGCAAAGGCATAGAATGGACTGAGAGGTGTGAGGAGATCCTGCAATTCTAGGCAGCTGGAACACGATTTGGGAAGATGGTTGTGGTTAAATTGGAAACCGCTCAGGGAGAGACAAACGGTGGCTGACCGATTAAAGTACGTCCCACAGCACTTTGTACTTCATATCTTACAAAGAAATAAAGCCAAACAGACGCTAACTACTGTAACAACGTTCTAGTTAGAGAAGACCCACCGCTCAGGGCACTCCAAATACAGTGAATTGCCATTACAGTGTTCCCCATTAACGGTCCCCCAAGACTAATTGCTTTTTAACCCCTTCTCTCAGCTTTGGTCAGTACTGTCACCCCGCCCGTTGTGGCGATCCCGCCCTCCTGTGAGAGCCCCTGTGGTCTGACTTCAGCAGCAGTTTCCGGAAGGAGACTGGCACTCGCTGTCGCCGCGGGCGGCCTCCCTCAATGTGAGCATCCTTCCGGAGGTCGAAAGACCTCGGTTTGGGGGTGGCTTCTGAGCTTGCCAGAGTTGGAGCAGAGGAAAGACCGGATTGCCGCCCCTAGGCAACCGTGCGTAAAGTGGCAGACGCTCGGGCGACCCGCCGGAGGGGCGGACGCTAACACCCGTACTGACGGGGGCGAGCGCCGCTGGCTCCGCCGGGAGGCTCATGCCAGCAGACAAACACGGTAAGCTGGGCAGTAGGCCAGAAGGTGGGGCGGCTGGCGGCTCACCGGTAAAAGGCAGAGTCCCCGAGTGGATTCCAGTTCGCAGTGTAACAGTCCATGTCTAGTTGAGCTGGTGGCTAGAGGCGCCGAGGAAAACACCCGCCTAGCACCAGCTCCAGGCCGCACTTCCGCTTCCGCCCGGCGGGGTCACGTGGCGAGGCCGCCATCGCGGCCGTCAGCACTGTGGGCAAGCCGTCCTGACCTATCGTTCTTCTCTTGGCCCTTACTCGGGCTTCGCGTCCTCCTGGGTGGGCCTGCCCCTGATACCTGTCCTGTACGGCGGCCAGACTTGCTGCCTTTCTGACTCCTCCGGCGTTGGGTGTCGCATGGGGCGGGACATGGGTGACCGGAAGTGGGAGCCATGAGCATCTCCTGGAGCGCAGATGCTGGAGGCGTTGGCTGGACCACCGCTACGCACGCATGGAGAGCGCTGGGCGTCGAGCTGCGTACCGACATCTAACCTGGGCACCTGGGCTCTGTGGGGCAGGGTCTTTGCAGAACCTACCGCCCTCCAGGGGGACGGGAACATGACTCTAGATCGGGAGCCCGCCGCGGGCAAGGCGCGCGGCTCCCGGGCCTTCCCTAAGGGCCTGTGAATCCGTGGAACTCCGAGACTTGGTAACTGGCGCGAGCGGACGTGTGCGCACGCGCGGGGCCGCCGCTGACACGTGGCAGGGAGCAAGGGAGTCGCTGCGCGCGCGAAGCACCATAGTGTAGGCCCTCGACCCAAGCGACCCTCCGCCTTCCCTCCGAGTGTGATGAAGGCTGGTGCCGTCATGCTTTTCGCCATGCTGCCCCACTGTCCTCCCTATTACTCAGAGCAGCTAGGGAGGGGCCAGTGCCCATCTGTCATCTTGGAACAGACCGAACTACCTTGAGTCCCTGCCCGCAGTCAGCTTAGTGGCCTCTCCCTGCAGCTTGTGTCAGTGGCAGCATGGTCTTCTGTTTGGAAAGCAAGATGCCTCACCGCCTGCTGCGAAGCACCATGGCCCACTTCCAAGCCTCGGAAGTCCAGCAGCTGCTACACAACAAGTTCGTGGTCATTTTGGGGGACTCCAGTGAGTGACCACTCTAGGGTGGCATTTCACAGCCCTGTATCTGCAGCCTTTTCTTTATGTCTGCACACCGTATCTCCATTTCAGACTTCTCCATCTCTTGCTCTGTTTTAGAACACTAGACTGTTCTGTTTTGTTTTAATTCCCTACATACCCTGGCATATCATTTGTACACTATTTTAGCCCATGCTGGTAGCATTGTTATCTCTTGTAGCCCTCCATGATTTTCTTAAAAGGATCTGTGGGTAATGTTGTGTGTTTCTCTGGTGATTGGACCAACTTCATTTTGCCAGTTGGTCTTGGATCATGGTACATAAGTCAAAGGAGAGGAATATAGCTAGAAAGAACAGAGCTAGGGCTTTGAAACTTCATCTTTTCTTCTCTAAGTCAACCCTCCATTGAGTTGCTGTTGGGCAGCCGAGCCCTGGGAAACAAAGGCCTTCATTTGGGAGGCTCCGGGAGGGGGTGAGGCCTGCCTTAATCTTAGGATCCCTGTCTTCTTGCAGTCCAAAGAGCTGTGTATAAGGACCTGGTGCTTCTGCTCCAGAAAGACACACTGCTCACAGCTTCCCAGTTAAAAGCCAAGGTGAGAGAAGCTTGACAGCTATGCCAGTGTCGGGTGGGTGCAGACCTTGGCCTGAAAAGGACCACCTACCTGGCATGGATCTGACCATGGGGTGGGGGCGGGTGGGCAGGGGGAGCTGAGCTTTGAACAGGATCAGCTGGTAGCTGGGGGCCAGCTGGGCGAACTGCACAACGGGACACAGTACCGAGAGGTCCGCCAGTTCTGCTCTGGTTCTGGCCACCACCTTGTGCGCTTCTACTTCCTCACCCGTGTTTACTCCGAGTACCTTGAGGACGTCTTGAAGGAGCTGTCATATGGACCTGCCCCTGACCTAGTGATCATCAACTCCTGCCTCTGGGATCTCTCCAGGTTCAGGCGGGGGGAAGGGAAATACTGGTTGGAGGTGGAGGTATGGCGCCATTCCTATACTCTTGCCCACCCTAAGTGTTACCCAACAGATATGGCCGCTGCTCAATGGAGAGCTACAGGGAGAACTTGGAACGAGTGTTTGTACGAATGGACCAGGTTTTGCCAGACTCTTGTCTGCTGGTGTGGAATATGGCAATGCCTTTAGGGGAACGTGTCACTGGGGGTTTCCTTCTGCCAGAGGTGAGTGCCTGGGGCCCTACTGGAAAAGGGATAGAGTGGCTGGCTGGTAGATAGAAGACCTTCTTAGAGGCTCCACTTTCTCAATTAGCTCCAGCCCCTGGCAGTCTCTCTGCGACAGGATGTGGTTGAGGGGAACTTCTACAGTGCTACACTTGCTGGGAACCACTGTTTCGACGTCCTAGATCTCCACTTTCATTTCCGGCATGCTGTACATCACCGCCATCGAGATGGTGTCCATTGGGACCAGCATGCACACCGCCACCTCTCATACTTACTTCTGACCCACGTGGCTGATGCCTGGGGTGTGGAGCTACCCAAACCTGACCATCTCCCAGGTAAGCCCTACGACAGAGTGGTTGGGGAGTGGTGTAGATAGGTCTTCAGGGTATAAGGCACAAAGAACCAAATGGAACAGAAGTCCTTACAGAAAGCAGAGGATCCCTTGAAGAATATTTGTGGCTCTTGGTTGTTCCTTTCTCACTTCCTAGGAATGGTTAGATCACAGAAGTCATGTGGCTGTTCACCTTCCCGTTCTTCAGTTCAGTGTGATTCCTTCTGTGTACCTAAATGGATGAGCAAGTCCTGTTTGCAAAAGGCAGGGTCGAAAGACCCTAATCAGTATGTATTGGAAGTAGGAAGACATACAGAAAAAGGATGGTCTAGGCAGTGCCACAGAGGCAGGAAAGCTCGTCAGCTGGAGATGTAAAAGGCACAGTCAGCCAGCAGGTGGTTGAACAGATACAGAATTGAACCTTGAGTGTGTTTGCAAGTCAGCCTCAAGGTGGTAGGGTTAGTAGACAACAGCCCAAGGCCTCGACTCCGCCTTAGGGTCCCAGTTCACTGGTTGCAGGCTAGTGCAGTTCTCCACTGGCCCTGTCGCAGTCACTGCTGTAGGTGCTGAGAGGCCCCCTCTGTCAGCTTGTTCTGGGACATATTCTAATTGCATTCCTGCTGAGATGTGCTCTGCTTCAGATCTTTTGTTTGCTTATTTCCACATCTACTTCTCCCTTGCTTCAGGTCACTTGAGCTCAGTGCCAACACAGATGTGCTGTACTTTAGTGCCGAGAGTAGTATTTATTGAATTGGAGACATGAGTCATCTTAGATGCTTTTACAGCAATATGGTAACATACAGCTTGTGGGGAACATAGAAAGGCCAGGAATAGAGGCAGACCACTGGAGCTTAGTAGCTAGGTACTGGAACATTAGGAAGATGAATTGTAGCAGATTGTGCACTGGTTCCATTTCCTTTGTTTTGCTCATGAGAGAATCGGTTCTCAGTAAATAAAGAAGTATCTTAAAGGTTGTGGTTCTTCACAGCTTCTGATTCCATGGAAGAACTATGGACATAGCTGAAGAGTGACTCAGTCGGCAGAGGGCTTGAAGTTAATAGCATGCATGAAGCCATTGGGTTCATTCTCTAGCATATTCAACCAGGCATAGTGGTGCATGCTTGTAATTTTAGCACTTGAGAAGTGGATGCCAGAGGATCAGAAATTTAAGCTCATCCTTAGCTACAAAGTGAGTTTAAGGCCAGCCTGGAATATGTGAGTCCTTGTCTCAAGGGGAACAAAGGAAATTAGAGTTGTTAAAAGAAGCACTTGATTTGAAGCAGAAAGATGAGCAAGTGAGTTTGATTAGGGGAGGTCTGTTTGGAGTGTTGTGGAGACGCTTGGAGTCATCAGTGCCCAGCAGAGGTAGAAGTGGAGTCTGAACTAGGAAGGAGACCGCAGAACTGTGCTCACACTTTAGATTAGTAGAGAACAGATTGGTGGGGAAACAAGTAGTTGAGAATAGAGAGGCGCATACAGGACAGGGAATATTGTTGATGTCGTGTGACTTGGAAAGAAGGGGTTTGTTAAGTTCGTCAGGCAGTGCCACTTAGTGGAAAAACCATTGAAGGCATGAAGTGTTCAAAAGCAACAATACAAGTTGATGGAGGATGAAAATGGGATAGAATATTGCCTGTGATGGTTTTGAAGCAAATGAGGACTAATTGGGAGGGGGAACTGGATCTTTATAATTGACTTATTTATTGACCTATGGGGAAATTTTGGAAAGAAGAAAAAGCTAAAAATACAAGCACTGGCATGAGGTCAGAACATGGACAGACGTAAGTAGCAAGAAAAAGGGAACACAGCTTATTCTTGGCTTGAAGTGAAGGGGAATGAGGAAGGCTACCGGCCTCATTCTCCAGAAAGATGGAGCAGAACTCTGCAAGTGTGGATAGCCAGCATTTGGGACAACGTGGCTTCCCAGGCCTACTTAACACAGTCATCCCATTCCTAGACCCATGGACTGAGGACTGGCCAGAGATGGATCATTCATTCCAGGGAAGCCATAAGCAGCCCACAGACTTCAGGGAGAAGCTGGCCTTGCCCCTGCTCCCACCTTTCCATTTGCCTCCCCCCATGTCTTTTCCTTACCCACTTCTTCAGCCCTCGCCACCTCCCTTGTTCCCACCCCTGCCCCAGGATGTCCCATTTTTCCAAGGTCAGCCCTTTCCACCCTATGAAGTCTTCAAATACAATGCCATGGAGGACTTCTTGGTGCCAGGTAGGTGCCTAACTTAGGTAGGTGCCTCTATAGTCTCTGCTCACACCCTTCCCAGCCTCCCTTGCACATTCTGTCGCCTAGCCAGCTGTGTTCACATGAATCCGGGAGTTGGGTACGGCCTTTGGGTTTGGTCACAGTAGTTCCCTGAGGTTGGAACAGCATCTGTAAACTCATTAATCTGGTCTGGCGGTAGGGGAAATAGAATTCCTATTTTGCAGATAGGAAATGAAAGCCCAGGGAAGCTTACCCCAAAGGAGCAGAGCTATCTGGTCAGAAACTTATTCTGATAATGACTGGTTCTTTTGTAGGATGTGGCCCTGGAATGACCTTTGTGCCTGGCCCCCTGCTACCATCAGTCTCTGGCCCTGTCTCCCATGGTCAACACCGGGGCCCAGTGGTCCACCGGGGCAAGCCACGTTGTGTTCCGAATGGCCCCTACCATGTACCAAGGATCGGGGGTCCATATAGGCAGCGACTCAGACACTCAGACAAACTAATCCACACATATAAACAGGACAGAAGGGGGCATGCCCATTCGGGAACATGGCCTGGGTAGGCAGGATCTCAGGTTGGGGCTAGAGGTGCCAATGGCCCTGGAGGGTCTGCCTCATACCCTAGCTGTTGGGCTGAGTGTTCTTGTCCATTGCTGATATCAATAAAAGCATGGAAGGACAGAGTGACATTCCTGTGTGAGGGAGTGGGTCTCCCAAACCATGACCTTAAGGGTTGGGGAAGCCGCCTCGTGGGCCTTTGTACAAACTATTTAGAAACCAGTGAATGCAGTCTTTTAGCACTCTTCCATCTTCACAAGGACACATACACTAAATACAGAGCCCCAGTGGGTTCCTTGTTAGCAGCAGGCCTTCGGGGCTGGGGAAAATCAAGGACTGAGTTAAATTGTCAGTATTTTAGATAGGCTTTGAATTTGACTAATTCTTACTTTTCCTCCCAGTTATGTACAGTCATGTATGCTTGGTATTCGTCTCCTCCTGGAGGTTAGGAAGACACAACCTTTGCATGCATTCCTGGTACAAAGCAGACATTCAATAAGTTGTTAGAACCCACGTGAGATAGTCCCACTATTGGCTAATCAGAACAGAACTCAATTTTCATTGTCTCCAAAAACCAGTATTAACACTACCTTGCGCATAGAGCCATGTTTTTCAAAGGACAGGTCCAGTATCAGGTTCTTAACACTCCATTCTAAGATACTACTGAAAGCAGTACAAGCTATGTGTACGCTTCTGTGTCAGCCTTACTCTGCTTGGGGAAGGGCTTGCTTAAACTACTTACTACAGCACATGTGCAGACCAGAGGTCAACTTCGCGGAGTCTGTTCACCCTTATGTGGGATCTGAGGCTTGAACTCTGGTTGTCAGGCTTTCGAGGTGAGCCACTTTACCCACTGATCTACCGCTATGACCCAGAGTTCATTTAAGGAAAGTAAAACTACTAGTTTTTTATCCCTAGAGAATTTGATGTGATCTAAAAGTTTTCCAAAAGTGGACAGCTGCCTTGTTCTTGTGGAAAATGTATGTATATCAAGTTGAAGTGCATCCAGACATAAAATAGCAAAAGTGTATCCTTTCTCATCACAAGAAAATAGACATTCTTAGCCAGGTGTGGTGGTGTACGCCTGTAGCCCCGGTACTCAAGGAGGCAGAGGCAGGCAGATCTCTACGAGATCTACAAAGGCCTGGATATCTGTGAGGTCTACAAAGGGAGTCCAGGACAGCCAAGGCCGCACAGAAAAACTGTCTTGGAAAAAAATAAAAAGGACGTTCTTTTTAAAAAATTATTTTATTGGTTATGATTGGCATATTTAAAGTGTACAATTTGGTAAGTACATCTATGAAATCAGGATACCAGGATAACCAAATGATAATTTCCCCCTTTTCCCTGCCTACAGCTTCCTCATATATTACTTTAGTCCTCAAGCAACCATTGATACTGATAAATAGGATCATTTGATAGGCACTCTTTTTAATCAGGGATTTTTATTCAACCAAAATGAATAGAATTTAAAAATCATTCCGATTTTTAAATTGATGAGTGATATTGTGTACTTGTAAAATTTGGGTACCACCCAAAAGCTCTCCTAATCAAAGGACATCACATCCATCCAGACTAGATTAAGCTTTTTCCTGGGACGTCCTTAGCTTATGCAAACAAGGGTTCAGAGACAGTGAATATGGAATTGTTTTTAGTTACCTTTGGCTGGATCTTTTAAAATTAAATACATATATTTCTATAGTGTATATGTGAGTGCACAGGCACTTGTGTACATGCATTTGGAGGTCAGAGGTCAACACTGGTTGTCTTTCTCTATTTTCTTTTTTGAGACAGGGTCTCTGCCTAAGTTCAAAGCTCACTGATTAGATCACTGGCTTCCCCAGCATAGCTTTAAGATCCTCTTCTCTCTGCCCTCTGCCTTGCACTAGCCCCCAAGCTGGGACTGCAGATGCATTCCACCATGCCTGGCTTATAATAGGCACTGGAGGCCCAGACTCAAGAGCTTGCATGTAAGAGTCATCTCCCCAGCCTTGTGGAGCTGAATCAGTATTTTTAAAGAATTGTTTCTAATTTTTACCATTAAGTATTTAGGATTACTGTACATTTTAGATGACTATCCAGTTAAAAACAATTTCTTTTCAGACTATAGATGAAAAATAGCAAAATAGGGACTGGATAGATGGCTCAGTGGTGAAAAGCACTGGCTGCTCTTCAGTGGACATGGGTTCAATTTCCAGTACCCACATGGTGGCTCACAACCATCTATAATTTTTTTTTCCATCTATAACTTCAGTCCCAGGAGATCTGATTCCTCTTCTGGCCTCCAGACCAGGCACACATATGGTACACAGATACATGTTCAGGCAAAATACCCAAACATATAAAATTTAAAAATAAAACCCAAAAACTTCCAGTTAACATACTAATGAAACTGAATACTCTCCCCCAAAGATCAGAAACTTATCATCCCCTTTCACCATTTCTATTCAGGGTTATCTGGAAGTCCTAGCCACTACGGTAACACAGGGATGTAATTAAAAGTCACTGCAGCTGGACAGCAAGAAGACTTACTGACAGACAGCGAGATTATATATGTACATATATATTATATAGGTACAAAATCTAGTGCAAATGTGTTTTTAAAGGTAATGTAGTATTAAGTGAATTTAACAAGTTAGTTGCTAGGCACACAGGATGGCTTTGTCTCAAAGATATGTTTATTCTGGGTCAGTAAGATGGCTACATAGGTAAAGGTACTTGCCACCAAGCCTGATGGTGAGTTCAGTTTCTCGAACCTTTATGGCTGTATACAAGGGGCACAGTAAGGAACTGCCGACATGACTGCTTCATGACGTGGATAAGATTTTTTTTTTTTTCAAATATGAGAAAGAGAGCAGATAGAGGCCTCTGGAAGAGTCCAGAGCAGAGAGAGACTTGACTGGCCATGGCCAGGGTTAGGGAAGGAAGAGTGAGAGGGTGAGTAGGAAGGTGAGTAGCTGGGGGAGGGGTTGGCCGGGATCCAGGATCCTGGTGTTGGGGACTTTGAACTGTGTAAGTACTTGTGTAGAAGCCCCTTGAGGGTGGTTGGAGACTGGGATGGGCCTTGATATGCAGCCACAGCTGTGGGTCAGTGGAGCCATATGTCCCCTGGCCAGAGCTAAGAGAAATGACTCCTTTCAGTAGACAGGATCCCTCTGAGCACCAGGCACACACATGGTTCTCATACTTGCAGGTAAAACACCCATACATACAAAGGATACAATTTTTAAAATGTAAAGGCAAGTTAATAGAGGACAGACTTAAAAAGTAGAGAAATCACTGCATAGACATTGAGGAAAATACATTTCAATTTGTAATTCATACCACATAAATATTAGCTTGAAATAGCTCATAATCCAAAATGTTAAATTTAAAATTACAAATCTAGAGCAAAATAGTTGTAGCCTATTGTTGGGCAAAGATTTTAGGTATAATATACCAAAAGCATAACCTATAAAATTCTTTTTTGAGGCAAGGTTTCTCTGTGTACTCCTACCTGTTCTGGATCTTGCGATGTAGAACAGGCTGGACTCAAAACTCACAAAGATCTGCCTGCCTTTGCCTCCTGAGTGCTGGAATTAAAGGTGTGTGCCATCATTCCTGGCCCATAAAATAACATTTTGATAATGCTGTTGTGCTGTGTGATCCAGAGAATGGTTTGTGATGACTATACTTTCAATTTTAAGTGCACTACATAACAAACTAAAGTAAAAGACTAAGTAGCAGGTTGGCCAGGTGCCCACTGGTTAAGAGCACTGGCTGCACTTTCAGAGATTCTGCGTTCAGTTTCCAGCACCCACATGGTGGCTCACAACTGTCTACGACTCCAGTTCTAAGGGATCCTAGGCTCTCTGCTAGCCCCAGTGAGTACAAGGGATGCACGCGTACAGACATGCAGGCAAAATGCCCTACTACATAAAGTAATAAAAAGTAACTTAAAGCAGCAAGTAGCAAGAGATAGCAGCTAGCCCAGCCATGGTGGCTCCCGCCTTTAATCCTAGCACTCAGGAGGCAGAGGTAGGAGGATCTCTGTCAGTTTGAGGCCAGCCTGGTCTACCCAACTTGCATGAATTTCAGAACAGCCAACACTAACTAGGCTTTGTCTCAGAGAGAGGGGAGGGAGAGAGGGAAGGAAGGGAGAGAGAGCCTGGGAGAGCGCCAAGCATTAAATTGGGTACTCAGAACATCCTGCAGAAATGTGCTGGGGAGACCTTAAGGCCGTTCCCTATGGAAAGAACGCCAGGTGGAGCAGAATGTTTCCTCGAGTGGGGCATCCAAGCAAAAGAATAGCAGCCTTGATACGTCATGGAGTTAGGCGAAATGCAGCAGAAACCATCTGGGGAAGTTGAGGCAGTCCATCATAATTCCCACAGATGTGCTTCCGTGACTGCATTTGTGGTTATTCCCCCTGCTGTAAAGCACTCATGGATAAACATTAGTAACCTCTGTTGAAAATAGTTTGCCTTCTAGATGGAATCCTGTTCCCTTGGGGGACCTCAGCCAGGGCTGGCCATTTATGGACAGTGCCACAAATCTCTGCCAGGGGCCATACCTTACTACATTGAGCACAAGATTCCCCACATTTTGGCATTTTGAGGATCTCCCAGACCATCTCAGTGTGGAGTAAATATGTTGGGGGCTTTGCAGTTTTCTTCCCTCCCTGTCACAGAAGTTAGATGCCAGTCCACCCCAGACAAAGGGGAATTAGAAGATACTTGGAGACAAACATGCTTGGGTCTAAAATGGGAGTTGGGGCCCTGCTTCCAGAGCTAGCTTCTTGGTCAGCTCAAACAACACAGGAGTGACAGTTTACCAGTGATAGTTCATTGCAGTGGTACTTTGTTAAAATACAAAACTGTTCTCCTAAAGGCTGTTAAGAGAAGTCAAGCTGTAGTCTGGGAGAATGTATTTTCAAATCATACTATCTAATAAAAGACCTGTCTCTAGAATAAAGAAACACCCTATCCTTTTTCTATTTTAGAATAAATAGCTCTTAAAGTACAGTAAATTTAAGGGAGTGCAATAGGTTAAAGACTTTAAGGAAAGAAGACAGGTTGTAAATAAGCATATCAAAAGAAGTTCAACATCTTCAGCCACTAGGAAAAATGTAAATACAAACCACA